CGGGCTGGGGGGAAGGCGGGGGGGGGGGACAAGGGAATCTGTGGCTGATATGTAAAATTAAATTAAATTATAAAATAAAAAAACCCCGGTTTAATGGGTAAAGCATTCCCGGGTGATTCTCCAGCCCCTCAGAGAGGAGACAGGGATGAGAGACCAGAAAACCACGAGTCTGTTTTCTGGGATGCAGCTTATGTACCCTGTGGGAGTGGTCTTGAGCCTCTCTGTGGGAGGAGCTGTGTTTGGCAAGCTTTGAAGGGGTGGGTTTGGGAAAAGAGATAGGGGAGGAGTTGAGGTGGATCTTCCACCAGAACATTCCAGACTCTTTGGGTATATGGATGCCAGGGTGCCAGGGGTTGAGATGGAGCTCCCACCCAGACATTATCCACGCCTAGTACTGTAAACTTAGCCAACTACTTGTAACTGGTGAGGTCATGGAACCTAGAGAGCATACTACTGCCACTTTCCTAAACCATAATTTCTAACTACTGTAGCTGGAGTTTTCCTGCCTTGCCCACAGTTAGGACAAATCTTTGTCACCCGCCAGTCCCACAGCCGCTCAGACCCAACCAAGTAAACACAGAGACTTATATTGCCTACAAACTGTATGGCCATGGCAGGCTTCTTGCTAACTCTTCTTATAGCTTAAATTAATCCATTTCTATAAATCTATACTTTGCCACGTGGCTGGTGGCTTACCGGCGTCTTCACATGCTGCTGGTCATGGCAGCGGCTGGCAGTGTCTCTCTGCCTCAGCCTTCTGCTTCCCATAATTCTCCTCTCTCCTTGTCCCACCTACTTCCTGCCTGGCCACTGGCCAATCAGTGTTTTATTTATTGACCAATCAGAGCAATTTGACATACAGAACATCCCACAGCAAACTACAGTCTAAATACTGATCCTTATACCCACAGATAAACTCTCACCCCTCATCAAAGAAGCTTCTTTTTGCAGCAGGCAGAAACCATTACAGAAAGCCACAAATGGTCAAAAGTTCAAAGTACAACAGAACCCCACACCATGAACACTCAGAGATCATCTCAGACAAGAGGACAGAAAGATAGTAAGAGCCAGAGGACCAGCGTCTCTGCTGGGAGATTGTGTCCTTTATATATAACAGGGAAGCCTCACCCATGAAATCCCAAGATTATGGTTGCCTAAGCAACACCTGAACAGTGACAACACCAATGTGGATGGGGGAATCTTAGAAGGCCACATCCCCTTAGTGAAGAGGTACTGGCAATTGATGGCTACTGAGAGAGGGGGAAACATCCTTCTTCAGGGATGAACCGCTGATGTGTTCTAATCCTGAGCAGCATTAAGTGAACTCAGCAGGTTATAGGCATATATTTGTTCATATATATATGTAACAATGATTAAAGAACAAGAGGCCATAAATTTGAAAGGAGGGGTAGCAGGTTGAAGAGAGGGGAGGGAGGGGGTTAGTGATGTAGCTACAGTACATAGATATGAAATTTACAAAAATAAATGTGAAAGGTGATCTTTTAAATATGAGTAAACCACCTGGAATCTTCCAGGATCTGGGCAGGAGAGTAGATGGGTTGGAGACCACAAGGTAAGTGGAGTTATAGCTTCGTTAATAATTCTGAGGTCCTGAGGATTAGTCTGTCTGTTAGAGATTTTTTTTTTTTTTTTTTTTTTTTTTTTTTTTTTTTTTAGGACAAAGTTTCTCTGTGTACCACTAGCTGTCACGGAACTTGCTCTGTAGACCAGGCTGGCCTCGAACTCACAGAGATCCACCTGCCTCTGCCTCCAGAGTGCTGGGATTAAAGGTGTGAGCCACCACCCCTGGCCTACTGTTAGTTTTTTAGGTTCCCAGAATAAGGGTATTACAAGGGCTATTAACTGGTATTTTAGATTGGCTATGGATGTTTTGTTAAGCCCTGTTATGCATATATATATATATATATATATATATATATATTGTTTTAATACGATATATTCTGGTCATGGTTTTCCCCTCCCCAACTCCTCCCAGATCCTCCTCACCTCCCCACTCACCCAACTCCACTCCCTGTCTTTTTGCCTCTCTTTAGAAAACAAACAAGCAAACAAAACCTAGAATTTTTTTTTAAAGAGAAAGTACAAGAAACATACATACGGAGACACTCAAAAACAAAATCTATAAAAGCACAAAATTGGAAACCATAATATACAAGCAAAAAACAAATTGTTGGGACATGGTCCAAGAATGGAGCTGTATGAGGAGAATTCCAAGTGCTTGTGAGAAACCTCCAAGAAAACAGGAGCCTGTGATCTCAATTTCTTCAAAAACACGAAATCGTTCTTGGAATGGGCTTTTGTGCCCCTCCCGTGTGTAGTGGATAGGAGTGAGTTTACTTCAGATTATTCACTACAACTGGCTGTTGCTATTTGTTTATATACCTCTATGGAATAAATAACAAGCCATGTGTTTTTGCTTCTGTAAACAAGCTTGGTTGCCCCAATGATATATGCTTGCTCACACATAGGCAGAAGGCACGTAGGCAGGAAGTATGGCAGGAAGTATGCTTGCCTCTGATCAGACGGAGGCAGAAAGTATGTAGCCTCGTCGGTTTTGTCTTTATAAGCCCCTGACTAATGTAATTTGGTGTCATATTCTAAGCATGGGTCTTGGGTATGGTCCCCGGCCAGTATTTAATAAAGCTTCTTTCAAATTTGGCTCAAAAATTGTGACAGTGTTTTTATTCTTGCCTGGTAGGATTACAATTTTCTGGAGGACCCAGGGAAATCAGACCACCTACCTAAATTCCAAAGTGAGACCTTCACTTCAGGACTCTGGGGCTGAGGGGCCACCTCAGGAGGTGCACACCTTGAGATGTTCCAATGCTTCAGGGCATGCTGTTGGTTTCACAGATTATCAGAGTGAACTGCCTTGCTGAGGAAAGCAGCAAGCGTCTAGAGAGGCCTCCCATGGTAAGTCATAGTAATTTTCTGGGACATCTGGTTCTGCTGCCATCCTGATCTGGGATGAGGAGGGGTCTGACCACCCATTACTCTCTCATCCAGGGCAAAGAGCAAGACATTGCACTGCCCACCTGAAGTTCTTGGCCTAGTTTTGTGTCTTGTTTGCTTCGTATTTGTATGTCTTGTCTTTGGTTTCACTTTGTTTGTTTGTTTGTTTGTTTGTTTTTCGAGACAGGGTTTCTCTGTGTAGCTTTGCACCTTTCCTGGAACTCACTCTGTAGTCCAGGCTGGTCTTGAACTCACAGAGATCCGCCTGGCTCTGCCTCGCAAGTGCTGGGATTAAAGGCATGCGCCGCTGCTGCTGCCGCCGCCGCCGCCGCCGCCGCCGCCGCCGCCGCCACTACTGCCCGGCTGGTTTCACTTTTCACTGTCTCCATCTCTTGAACATTCTGTGTTCTGTGTTTATTGGTTTTATTTTTGCTGTCTCTGCCACTGTTTGCTATGGCTGCTTTGAAGGCCAGGGCTCAGAATTTCTTATCTCTGAGCCTTCTGGTCACTGGATTCACTTTAGCAGGGTGCAAATGTCTTTTGGGTGTGGATAATATTAAAATTGTTATATGTTGTTCTGCTATCTTGAGAAGCTGGCTCTGGAGTTGGGTTATGGCTCTTCATTCTCTAGAGCCAAGCTTGCATATTTAAAAGTTTCCTCATTGCCCCATGCTAGGTGATCCACCTGATTTTGTGACAGAGAAAAAGATAACAAAGCAAATCAGCAAAAAATAAAATTAGACTATTGGTTTCATTTAACTGCCCAAAACTCTTGCTAAGTTATAAATCTTATTAATCAAAATTTGTTAGTCTGGTATGTGAGCTTTCTGTACCTCAAGATTTGTAAGTTTAAATAAAAATTTGTAAAACAGTTAACTGAAAACTTGTAACATGGAGTTGATAGTTAAAAATCTATACATAGGTATTCTTAAAGGAAGCATGCTACATGATGGCATCTTGGGATGTAAGCAACATGTGGCTTGCCACCATCTTAGCTGATGGAGGCAAACATGTAGCTGGCAGCCATCTTTACTAAGGTTAGAGAGGATAAATGCCATGGGACTTGACCACCATCTTAATTAAAGGTGACTACATGGTATAAACCAATCAAGGATGTTGTTGGTTGTTTTTTCTCTTTGGGCTCTTTACTCTTTTGGGGGCCCACTCAAAATCACACATGGAGGCTTATTATTTCTTATAAATGCCTGGCTTTAGCTTGGCTTGTTTCTAGGCAGCTTTTCTTAAGTTGTCCTGTTTACCTTTTGCCTCTGTGCTTTTTCCTTCCTTTTCTTACTTCTGTAATCAGACTTTCACTCTTACTCCGTGGCTGGCTGTGTGGCTGGGTGACTATGTGGCTGTGTAGCTGTGTGGCTGTGGGGCTGTGTGGCTGTGTGGCTGTGTGGCTGTGTGGCTGTGTGGCTGGCCCCTTCTTTTCTCACTCCTTGATCTCTCTTGCTTCTTCCTGCCTCGAATGTTCTTCTATTTATTCTCTCTGCCCGCCAGCCCTGCCTATTTCTCTCTCCTGCCTTGAATTGGCCATTCAACTCTCTATTAGACCAATCAGGTGTTTGAGACAGACACAGTGACACAGCTTCACAGAGTTAAACAAATGCAACATAAAAGACTGCAACACATCTCTGCACATTAAACAAATATTCCACAGCACAAACAAATGTAACACATCTTAAATTAATATTGCACAACACAAGGAGGCAATAACAGGTCTCCAAGATATTTTGGGTAAGGATGGATTTTTATATGATAATTCTTTTCCTAAAAACAAAGTCCTAAAAACAAGGCTTGTTTAATAAGGTATTAAAGCTGCACCTGCATGCATTTATAAACAAGGATGTACCTCATGCTGGCAGCCAAACTTGGTAATGTAAGAGGCACCCAGGTAGTATTGGTTTTAGAGTCATGAAGGGGTCATGGAGAGCAGCTGAGGCTTGGCATTGTGTGGCAGGGCTAGAATTCATAAAGAGAGCTCAGGAGAGGGACCTCAGCAGTTTTTTTTTTAAGATTCCAGTGCCATGAATAGTCACCAGAAATAACAGCCACAATGAAATGGAGCCAGCTAGAGCCTAGAAAACAGGTTATATGTGCTTTTGAGGTTGGAACTGGAGAGATGAACCAGGCCCCTTTGGGGAGACTAGAGGATGGTGAATGGAGTCCAGATGTTGAGCATCAAATTGTTTGCACTGTTGGAGTTTGATTTTTGCCTTGTCTAGATTGTCTTTCCTCCCTGTTTCTTCCCTCTTGAAATAAAAAACTGTACTCAATTTCTTTTTTGATATTGTAGAAGGCCACAATTAGGAGATTTTTAAACTTTTTTAAAAGAAAATTTTGGAAACCCAGCACACTTTAAAAAATTTTTTTTTATTTTATAATTAACTTAATTTCACATATCAGCCATGGATTCCCCCGTCCTCCATCCTTCCACCCACCAGCCTTCCCCCCCAATCGACACCCCCACTCCCACCTCCTCCAAGGCAAGGTCTCCCCTGGGGAGTCAGCCCAGCCTGGTAGACTCAGCCAAGGCAGGTCCAGTCCCCTCCTCCCTACACCAAGGCTGAGCAAAGTGTCCCTGCATAGGCCCCAGGCTCCAAACAGCCAACTCATGCACTAAGGACAGGTGCCGGTCCCACTGCCTGGGGGCCTCCCAAACAGTTCAAGCTAATCAACTGTCTCACTTATCCAGAGGGCCTGATCCAGTTGGGGGCTCCTCAGCTATTGGTTCACAGTTCATGTGTTTCCACTAGTTTGGCTATTTGTCCCTGCATACTTTTTAAGAAACAACTTAAAAATATTTAAGTTTATAAGGCTATGGGACATGTTAAGGTTATAAAATGTCTTATATTATGATGTCTTTGTTAATATGTAATCTTAGAAAGTAAATAAATAAAAGGCTAAAGAGTTAGGGCCACAGCTATGAGCACCAAACACTAAACACTAGAAACTGGGATATTCCTATCTTATGATGCAGCAAGACAATAACCTAAGCAGTCTGGAAAAGAGCCTATAGAATATCTCTCCTTACCAAAGGGACTGACTTAAGAATATATATCTAGCCTCCTTGTCTTTGCTAACTTTGTTAAGCTTTAGCTATTTTGATAACTAAGTCATACAGGAAACTGATATTCTTTAATGGTGCACTAAGTCAGTACTAGGAAAGTAGGGTTTCTAGTCTCTCTATGGATGGTATTGTTTAAAGTTTTATTTTGGTGATAAAAGAGCTTCACAAATTGTCTTTTTTAAGGCTAAACCTAGCAGGGATAAAATCTGAATCTTATAAAAGCTACTATCTTGCCGGGCCGTGGTGGCGCACGCCTTTAATCCCTGCACTTGGGAGGCAGAGGCAGACAGATCTCTGTGAGTTCGAGGCCAGCCTGGGCTACTAAGTGAGTTCCAGGAAAGGTGCAAAGCTACATAGAGAAACCCTGTATCAAAAAAAAAAAAAGAGAGAGAAAAAAAGAAAAAGCCCAAACAACACAAAGTGAGACAAAAATCTACAAAAGTACCATTGTGTTCAGTTTGTGTTGGTCATCTACAGCTGGGCATGGGATCTGGTCTTATGTGTGGTTAATATAGTCAATAAGATGCCATTGGAAAAAAACTATTTTTCCTTTGCAAAAGGTGTCACTTGCAGATAGCTTCATGGTTAGGAGTGGAAACCTGTGGGCACTTCCGCCTCTCAGCACTGGGACCTCATCTGGCTTGAACCTGTAAAGGCCCTGTGTGTGCTGCCACATTTTCCATGAGTTCATATGTGCCTCAGTTCTGTTGTGTCTGGAAGACACTGTTTCCTTGGTGTTTTAAAGGATAGTATCATTGTGGGGGAACAAAGGAGTTTTTTAGGTGGACTTTAGAAGGGGAGTTTTTTTCTTTTTCCTCAAAGGATGGAATATTCAGGTAGCAGAAGTCATCCAGGTAGATTTGAAAATTAGCATCTCCATCAAGTCTCAGATGTTGATTTTGCTCTGATGCTGTTACTGGATGAGAGATCACCCATACACAGGCTGGGTGCCAGGCACAGGGGAACCCCTTCCAGGGGAAGTGTTGTGTTTCTAAGTTAAACCAGTTATTCTAGGAGTCCATTCACATGCTTTCGTGTGTGTGTGTGTGTGTGTGTGTGTGTGTGTGTGTGTGCAGCATTCTCAGTTGTCTTCCAGACCCAATTTTGCTTCTCCTTAGCAAAGTGGTAGAAAAGAGAGGGGGAGCAGGAGTGACAATAAACTCTTGCTGCAGATCCATTGGTTGCTAAGTCATCCGCTCTCCAAAGCTAAATATATATCTGTGAGTATTTTAGGAAATTGAGAAAATGGGAAATTTTCAAAGGTGATGGTCTAGACACAATGTTATTAAGATTTATTTTAAAAATCTGTTGGCTGTTTGTTATACTGCAACTTTTCTTTGAAAAAAAAAAACCACAAACTATTATTCCAGAATGTAACAATTCTCAGGAACAAGAGGGTCTAGAACCATCTGCCTCCTAGTACATTATTTGTTTTTTTTTAAAACATGCTCATTTTTCTTTGCTATTCCTGGGAAGGGAGGGCCAATTCCAAAATACCTTTCTCTAGTTAAAAATGATGTTGTTATGGCTGAAGAGATGGATCAGCTGTTAAGAGCACTATTTGCTCTTCCAGAGGATCCAGGTTCAGTTCCCAGCACCCACATGGCACTCACAACCATGTGTAATTCCAGTTCTAGGGAATCTGACACTGTCTTCTGGCATCTACAGGCACCAGACATGCACATGTGATACAACCATACATGCAGGCAAACCACCCATACACATAAAATCAAAACAAATAAGTCTTTTTAAAAATGGTGGTTTCAAACGTGAATGTGGTGGTGGCACGTGCTTGTAAACCCAGCCTGAGAAGGCTGAGGCAGGAGAAACTTGAATCTGAGCAACATATTGAGTTCCAGGCCAGCCTGGGAT